TGGCAAAGAGCTGAGCCAAAGGACTAAAGTCTTTTCTATCTAATATTTATTATTAATATGTGAATTTTAAAAAATATGTGCTATAAATTTTGTTCAATTTATCAAATGAAAACAAGCAAATATTAGACTGATGCAACTTGTATGAGCAGTAGGAACTTGAAAAAAGAAAGACAGGTGGAAAGAAAGAATGAACTGAGTAAAGACACTTGTTGGGTATAATACATAATTTCTAGTAAGCGTAGTGCCAAAAATTTTATTTTTTTAAAAAAGTAAGGAAGAATATTTTGAAAAAAATAACTTACACCTTTTCTAAAATATTCAATTTGGAGCATTTCTAATCATAAGCTTTAAAATACAAGGAAAATATACTGTGTTTGGTAAGCTATAATATATATTTTATATGTTGTTTCATATCTTATATGTTTATTTTTATGTATCCTTATACATTTTATGTAATCTTTCCCTTATTTGCACATCTAAAAAGGTAGATTTTAGGGGAGTGGCCCCACGGGCTAGTCGTTAAGTTCAGCTCACTCCACTTCAGCGGCGTGGGTTCAGTTCCCCAGGCGCAGACCTACACCACTCATTGGCGGCTATGCTGCGGCAGCAACCCACATACAAAATAGAGGAGGATTGGCACGGATGTTAGCTCAGGGAGAATCTTCCTCAAGCAAAAAGAGGAAGATTGGCAACAGATACTAGGTCATGGCGAATCTTCCTCAGAAAAAAAAAGATGGATTTTAAATGTAGGAACATCTGCTATAGTTCCAAAGAAATATTCCTAAAAATCAATTTCTGGGGTGAGTGACATGGTACCCTTCCTGGATGAGATGACCCCTGAAGGTGCTATTATTGCATAAATGTCACCAGTCGTTCAGCACACTATTAGAAGTCTTAGTGAAGGTACTGAAAAATGCAAAGAAATTTAAATTAGAGTCCTTGCCTTTCAGGATTCAGTTGGAGGTCAGTGAATTTAGTTGAGAAATAAGACATGTTTGCAAATGACCCTACAAATAAAGGCATTATGGGCAGGCTCCACTTTGTACCACTTCCACACTCTCTGCATTGAATTCTTCATAAATAGTCATTCATTCAACAAATATTTATTATCCATCCTGTGTGGTCCTTAGTAGTTCAAAGGTGAATTAGACATGAACCCTGCCCATAGAGAGTCTAACAGAGGACATGAGCCCCGTGAAACTAGTTGTAATACAGAGGGAAAAGTGAAAAAAGCCGTGGAAAAGGAACAGATAAAATACTCTAAGGAGACTCAGAGAAGAAATAACTGATTTCTCCTTGAAGAAAACAGAAGAGGTGTCATCTTTCTCAGAGCTTGAAATACGTAGGATTTGGATACAGAATGATGGAGAAAAATGTCTTTCCAGGTAGAAGCAACTATGCATAGTGGAAAAGTGTGGGGGATATAGTGGGTACAGCAAGCTGTAGAAATCACCTTTAGAGTTTTATGGGCACCAGGAGGCATTTGGAGTTTTCCAGGAGTAAAGTGACATGTTCAGAGCTATATTTCAGGAACCTTAAATCTGGTCACTCTGTGAAGTCTAATTGTCCCATCTGTAACTCAGAGTCATTATATCCAGAACTTTTTCTCAAGTCTATACAAAGCCTGAATCAATCGATTAGCTTAAAGCAAAGGCTACAGTTGAAGTTTTGGTTTTCTTGTGTGGATCTGGCCACCTGTATTAGATTCTAGGGTCTAGTCTCCAAGTCTAGACCCTGTTCTCTGTGTGCTTGTGTCCATTTTGAACCTTGGTCATAAAACTTTCCCTGGATATTCAGTTGTTCTTGCTACAAGGACTTAAAAGAGAATTTCTCCCTATTCTTAATACTAATAATAGTTATACCTTTCTTAAGCAAACTTTTTGATCTGAAAAACACTCCAAATCATGTAACTGATCATGTTTCCCTCTTTGCGTTGGAAACTAGATAATTTAGACCCAGATTTGTATCCTGCTTTCAAAACGTGTAGAGTATACAGCAGGCATTTTGCCCACTAACCTCATATCTGGCTTTATCTTATCTTTCTCACTTTCAGCTTTCTTTTATTCTATCTTATTTTCTGGCTATGTTTAATTTTATCTTATCTTGTTACACTTTATAAGCTTATTCTATCTTGAATAAGTTGGTAGAGACAAAGACATACTCCCAACTGCTTCTTACATCCTGTAAGCCCAAATCTCTAGAACTAGCATTGACCTCCAACTGAATCCTTGCGTTTTGCTTCTGTTGGTGGTCTGCTGCAGAATTTAAATTTCTGGCCATCCATCCCATCTCACTCAAACTCTGCACTTATTCTGTTCCATCAAATTTTAGATTGAACCCAGCTTTCATTATCTGGATTTTTTTTATTGGTAGGCCTCTTTCTTATGTAGTCAAATCAAAAGATGTACCAGCACACAGAACACACTATGCTGAAATAACCCAGATAGACAACTGGAAAGAGCATGGATCTTTGCATGGTGTCTTTTCTATTATAAGTTCTCAATAGATACTTGCTAAATGAATGAGTGAACTTAGAGAAAGCCGCAGCAGCACTAATTATTTTTGAGACCTTAAATGGAAGTTTTTTCCCCACTGTTTATGTTTTGATTTAAGAGTAAGAATCTTAAATTCAATATATTGAAATATGTGATGATGATAGATCTTAAAATCATTTAATTTTCGATAACAATCGTAATATCCATAACGCTTTACCATTTCCACAATGCTTTCAACTGTTACTAACTTAGCATATCCTTGGAGCACAAAGCCTTGATAAATGTTTGTGGGATGAATGACTAAGTGTGTGAATAAATGAATGAATGAGTGCATTTCATTGAATCCTTAGATTGCACTCATACAGAGATGGCGCAATATTATTTCCCACATTACAGATGAGAAAACTGAGGCTCACTGTCATGATGCCTGACAGAGTTAGGAATTAAATTTGGTATTCTGACTTCTGCTATACTTGCCTTTCTTCTACATGGTATAATATCTAATATATAATTTATTCTATATAAAGTATGTATAATGTAATAGCATTGTTTCATGAAGCCATGCTTAAAACCATGGAGTCATCTGATCCATCCCTCTATTTCTATTTAGGCACAATCTTAATACTTATCCCTTTGAAATGTTTTTCTCTTTGCTTCCATTCCATTAACACCAACCTACTCGATGCCCTCATAAGTGTAGCTTGTTATATCATCCTATAAGCAGCTTCTTGAAATGTTCCTTAAAGACATCCATAGAGATTCTAATCATGTGCACTGATGCTGGGGAAGACAAAGCTAATTAATAAATCTTCCATGAATATTAAACTGTTAGTTTCTGTTTTTCTAACACAATTAAAACTAGATGTGCTTTTTTAACCCTACCATTCCCTCAAAGGCTAATTTCAATTTAACTGAGATTTAGACACTCATAATTTTTCATGAGCACCAAAGCAATGGACCAAGCAAGATTTCTGTAGTTTCTGGTGTGGGGATCTTCAAGAATAGAGACTTCTTTAAGCAGCTTTATTTCATATATGAGGTGCTATCTCTGTCCCTCATTTCAAGAGTAAGAAATTATTAGTTGTTAAATGATATGATATGGATTATTAGAGACCATTAGAAACATGCAGTAATTACTGATATTATATGCTATGGGAGGAGTTACTTTAATTGTTGTTCTCTGTAAAAAGGTTTGATAATATATATTCAAACCATTACGTATCATGTATTCATTTCATGCAACCAGATTACAATGCTAGACTATATTATTTGGCTTAACAATCACTGCTGGAGTTCACATCGTAGATGAAAGATAGTCCCGGTGTTTTCTATTCTCTTTCAATATGTGCATTTATATTAATAGCATGATTTAATACATCACTTTAAATTATATTGCACTTCAAACTGCATTTAGTCAAAAATTGACATCTTATGTGTGTGGAACCATAATAAGTTTAGCATTAAATTAAGGAGTCATCTGTCTGTTTGCTAAAATGTAGTGTTTGTGAATTCTAGCATGTCCAAAGCTAGGTAAGGAGATTGAAAAGTCGGTCTCAGATGTTACATTAATTTGTGAATTTTAACTTATGGCTTATTAGCTTTAGGGAATTTTTCCATGGTTACAACCTAGCATCGTGTTTATATTTTGAAGTTGCTGGATCCCTTATGATTCTGGTTTAGAACAAAATATTTGTACCACTGGCATAGTGGCATGAGTCGCTCTGGTCACCTATGACTTTCTCCCAAATGTAGTTATTCTGCATACTACTGTGAAATTGGAAAATCCGTTCTGTGTGTGTTCTAATGGATGTAACGGTCATTAAGTATATGAGTCTTCTGACGTTGTAATCAGATGTGATTCAGTCTGTTAAATATCCATGAAACAACATCTGCTTCACAGAGTGACCTTCTGCTAAAGAATACTTAGCATCTATTAGTAGATCATAGTGCAGATCTGCCTTATTTGAAATGCACTAAACTAGAGTAGTCTACTGCTGTTTAGCAACTAGCTTGTAATAATTTATTGCAGTTAAATAAAGCTTAAAAAAACTCCATTAAATAATTATAGGGATTCTATGCATTTCGAAAACCTTTGTGTTCTACTGAAATTACCCATTTAATTTCAGGGTTGGTGTGTTAAAAAAAGCTGAAATCTAAAGGCACATTAGGGGAGCTGTCAGATGCTGTTTTCTGTAGGTGTTAATAAAACCAGATTGAAAAAAAATCTGAAACAAATTAAAACCAAAAGCAATTTTACCATCTGTTGTATATTAATTAGAACTTTGTGTATCAAGGGTAAACTTGCTCTTAGAGAATGTCACTGAACACTCACTTAATAGAATAATATGCAAATTTATTAGGTTATGGATTTATATGCAGTTTTTAATTCTAATTCATCTACAGTGAATCCCCAAGAAATTGAGAGTGTGTATAGATATGTATGTACACATACACAGGTATATATATATATATATATATAAAATGAGTTTTCTTTTCTTTTTTCAGAGCAACCTACAAGCAATCAAGGCCAGTCCACCTTGCAGCCTTTGCCACCTCCCCATAAGCAGCACTCTGCACAGCATCATCCATCCATCACTTCTCTCAATAGAAATTCCCTGACCAATAGAAGGAACCAGAGTCCGGCGCCGCCGGCTGCTTTGCCCGCCGAGCTGCAAACCACACCTGAGTCCGTCCAGCTGCAGGACAGCTGGGTCCTTGGCAGTAATGTACCACTGGAAAGCAGGTAACTCCTATATGTGAGACTTTCAGGTCATTTGATTGTTAGGACCACACAATGTACCTGCACAGAAAATGCATATCCTACAGTATTTTTTTTAACATCTGAAATTTAAAGATAAACTAATCCAACCCTTTTCTCACTAAGAGAACTTTCCTACACTTATATTCTCTGTGTTTTGTCTTCTCTAAGAACAGTTCGAGACTATTGGTAGTTTTTTGGTTGCTGGGTCGATGACCTTTCTCATCCTTGTCACGCATTTCATAGCCTACAAGAGATGAGAATAAATGGCCTCAGTGAAGCTTTTCATTATTACTGTTTTGTTCCCTCTTATCTACAAATTACTAGGCATGTGGAGAAAAGGATAGAGATGTAAATGGTGATTCCTCGTCCCATGATTCAATGAGCATATTTAGCATCTACTTGGTTCTAGACATCGCTGCTTTCACAAACAATATTTTGTCCACTACGTTGTAAAATCATAGTTGACTCCCAAGTATGCTACTTTAGCATGAGTCAGATGACCATTTGTTAAGGATATTTTAGTTTGTTGTAATATGAAGGAGGTGGGACCTATTCTCTAAATCCTTCCAGCATTATTTCCCAAGACATTCCATTCGTTCTTAGACGGTTCTATTAGAAAATTATTCCTTAGGATGAACTGGAATTGCCATTCCCGAAACTTCCATCCTCTAGTTGTAATCATGCGACGAGTAATCTGTAACTGTACAAAGTAATTCACCCCATTTCTGTATGATGGCCCATGAGCTTCTCTCAGTCTGCTCTTCCAGAGGCCTCATCAGCTTCATGCTCTTTCTCTGTACACCTACTGGTGTTTCAGTGAGGTTCTTAAATTATGACTTCTAACACAGGCTGGCCCACAGGGAGCAACCTGTTTACACAAAAGTATAGATCAATAAGATCTGTTTTGAGCTAATCTATTTCATTGTTAAATATCTCCAGGTACAAAAAATTTACTTTCTTTTTTGGGGCAGAACCTCAACAGTCAATGTCTCCTTTATATCATGTATTGTACAAGCAAGAGCGTGGTGTCCTACCTCATTGGTCTCCTATTGGCAGCCTTGCAGCAAAGTTCCCCTAACATTCCTTTTAGTACTTATTTCTTCCCTGCCCTAAGCTTCCATTAGGCTCAGAGAAAAAAATCATCACTACATAAAAAAGCCAGAAAACGGAGGACTCTAGACCCTCTGAGAGACTGTCCCCCCAAAATGTCGTGCCCTGTAGAGCCCCTGGCTAGTGTCAGCATTTAAATTAGCTTCTGGGTCTCACAGTGAAAAAATTCCTATTTTTTTAAGCCAGTTCTGCCCTGAGGATGAGCTAGCAGCAGGTCCTCACAGTTAGTTGTCAACAATAAAAATCTTCCTGTCTTTTCTTTTCTCTTGACCTAAGAACAAGATTCCAAAGAACTCTTGTCTTTTTATCTGTAGTGTCAGCCAAGAGTAGTTGTGTTTTATTGTTTATTTTGTATTATTGAATGCTCTTCTGGGAGAAATTAGAAAGAGAAAGTACAGGAGAAGTAGGCAAACAGCAAATTTCTTCACTTAAGACAAAGTGTCACGTACACAGATTTTTTTCCCTAAGGTTATTAGCACAGAGCTAAATTTACCCAGTGTAATTAATTAGCACACACTGAACAACTAATCAACACTGATTTACTATTGTCATTTGGAAAAATTTTATTAGGAAAAAAGTAATTTTCTAGTTGAGTCATCAAATTGAACATGGATAATTGCGTTGTAGTTAACAATAATTGTTTTGACAAATATTTATGAAATATGTCAGGTCAAGTCATCAGAAACATGTTTAATTTTAAGGATGTAGTATAGCACAAAAGCTTGAAAAACTGTGTCAGTAAGCGAGTTGGTATTCCTTGAAGCCATGTCTTATAGTGTCGAGATTTGGAATAATTTGGGGGAAAGATGTGTTCTTGTTATTTCTCATATTGTACTTATGACTTTTGGTTGATGGGAAGTTAGGAAAGAAAGTAGCTATTTGGAGGAGAACTCTTGTGGCTATATGTGAAATTGTAGCTGGTTTCTCTATATTCAGACCATGTAAGAAATCATTCTCAGGGTGATTTCAAAACAATGTTGTTTGAAATTCCATTTCAAAGCCATACCATTAGTGAACCATCGATGGAATTACATTTTATAGTTTTATGAATTGACATAGGAAGAAAAATCTACCAGTTGATATTATCTCACATATGTATATAAAGAATAATGAATCTAAAAAATGTATATCATGCTAAAAAATTTTAATCGGTAGTATAGTTTTGTTATTTTCTCATTTTCCAATGTTCACGTCTTCTAACGTTGCTAATCAAAAGAAATGGCATTTCAACTTGCAGGTAGCCAGTGAATCAGCCTAAGCAGCGATGTGAAAATCTCACACTGTAGCGACATGGTACTACTGTGGTTTCTTTAATAGTCTCACTTGGTTGGAACTCTTGAGGTGAAGAACCAGACTTATTTATCATTGATTTTTCCTTTTTTAGTTAAGATTACCTGTTGAGTATGATTCTCTGGCTCAGTTTCAGCTATATTAACAACTTGATCCAGACTTGTGTCTGCCTTTAAGTGTTTTTAGTCCAGCGTATAGTTTCATCTTTGGCGATTATTTCTATTTATGCATACACTCATTTTACCAATCCTCACTTCTGAAACTGTCATTTAAAGGATATAAAGTATGAAGTTCAGTTATGAGTAGGTAAGAGTTTCTATTTTTCTCCTCCCCTCTTCTCCTTTCGGTGTATATTGATATAGTTGGTTACAAATTGGCACGTAATAACCCACAAAAATCTCAGTAATTTGTAGACTTACAGTTTATGTGAATTAGTAGAGAAAACATAAAAGGTTTTCTACCTTATCTTGTTTCAGTGTAGCTTTCATGTTGATTTATTAAAAAGCATTTTTTTTTTCACCAGCAGTCTTGCTTTCATAAAAATGTTTATTTCCTTTCTCTAATGAATTTAACATTTGCTGCTGCTGGAGACAATCAATATTATGGTGTGCTGTACATTTCGACTCAGTAAATAGAGCAGTTCTGGTCTATCATCTCCAGTGAGTTTCAGACCTCCTAGAATCACATCAAGATACAAACAAGCATTTGCAATTTATATTCTTATTATCTCATCATCTCCTATAAATAATAATCAGTGCCTAGATATAATACCAATACTTGCTTAGAATTTTCCTTAAAATTCCATTTCTTTGAGCTCACTATTTCTTATACTTTGTATAATTCACTTTTAGGGCAATTTGATAGCCTATGGCTCATCCTTTGTTTATTTTATACTTCAGCTGCTTCGGTGCATAGTAATAGCTTCTGCCAGAATACAGAGCGGCTGAAGCAAATCTTAGACTTGACCTGGTATAGCAGCAACACTTAAAGGTACAGTCACTGGTATTGAGAAGCCTTGACCTTCAGCAATTGTAAAGTTAATTGCCTGCAAGTTCCTCATTTATATATGTGAATTAAGTAGCTTAGTAGTTACCTATTAGATGTTAAACAAAATGGTTCATTCGTAGCCATTTAATAAAAGATTTATTAAAGTCTTGTATTATTATGAAGTCTCCTTTGGCATTGATAGTTCATTAGTTGTGTTCCCATAGCTTTTTACCTTGTAGTTCAGTAATGCTTTTCTAATTATTAATGTATGAAATTGCATATTAAATTACCTCTTTATTATTGCATTTTTAATTTAAATATCAAGATGTCCTGGGCTGTGTTAATGTGAGATCAATGCTGCATCTTTAAAAAATAAAATACCTAAACAGAAGAGTTATTTCCTAAATTAAGATATTCTCCTTTTCTTTCCCTTCCTTTATCTTCACTCTCAGTGGTTCTAGAAGGCAAGACAATCATCTGAGCATCAGATCTGAGTCAGCCTTGCCTATTAGAAGTCTAAGCAACAGCCTACACGTTGTGGCCTTATAGTACCAGGGAAAAGCTTTCCCAGCTGAAAAATTGTCCCTCCACCTGCATGCTGATAACCAACTACCTTTAGCAAGGTAGTAAGTAGTAAGATCCTCCATAATTAAAGATATAGCTTCAAGTAAAATATCCCTGGGAAAGTAATCTGCTGACTTAAGTTTACTGACTGATGCCATATCCTTTTATTAAAAGTAGTTTGGGGTGACCCAAGGGCACCTGTGGGGAAAGAGAATATCACAGAATATGGAAGAGAGGTGCAAAAATGAAGAAGCTAAGGTTACTGAATATACATTTCAAAACTGGACCTGGGCCTAGGCTGAGAAATTCTTAATTAATCTTTGAGAGTCTCGCCATCTCCATTCATTAAAAACAAACAACAAAAAGCCCTGGTAAACTCATCTGAAATTACTTACTAAGGAATAATAAAAATCAGTTGGATTCTAGATCTCTTGAAATATTTCACCTTTAGTAACTTATAATATTTCTTAAAAGTCCTGTGCAGAGAGATGTATGCATTTGTAAGGGTAACAGGAAGAAAGAGGAAGAGGGAGATATGATGTATAAGGATTTGCTAGGAGGTGTTTATATTTAAGGTTCATTTCAATTTGTGGCTTAAAAACTTTGGCTCAGTGACAGGAGGATAATTCAGGAAGCTATTGTGATCCCAATTCAGTGCCTTTGCTCTATGATGACTATGTAATTTATCATCAAACCAGAACAATTTGAGAGTGAACGGGGAATATGAACAATTACGCTGAAACTACAGGCATAAACTGAGGCTGTCCTGGGCAAAGAGGGACATATGATTACCCTACTAAGTTTTATTGCCAAGAGTAAAGTTGCTTTTAAGTCCATATTATCTCATACCTAAAATGTATAATAAGATAGAGATCAAATGAGAGGGGCAGTGGAAAGTTGCCATTGCTTGAATACGGATATGACTTCCGACTAGAACATTTCTACTTTCTATTGCCAACTTGTAGCAAATATTTAATCCTTTGTCAACCTCATCACAGAAAAAGCTTCTGTTGGCCTCCAAAATATGTAAC